CTCTCTGTGGACCATGGCTTCTGCTGTAGGATGTGACCAAGAAAATGTCAGGAAAGACCTACTAGCATAGCTGATCTTTATTTGGGATTCCTCAGAGTCACTTTAAATGATGGCATAACATACTACTGCATAACAAGTACCCCCACCCACGGACGCCCCACCCACGCCCCATTCACGGACGCCAACGGCGGCAGCAGCCACCCCACCGGTCCTTGGAAGAATGGTCTTCAACAAAACCGGTCCCCGGCATTAAAAAGGTTGGGGACCACTGATCTAGCACACACACCCCTTGAACACAGTGAATATAGTCAGGCAGCAGATTGTGTTGAGCAGAAATGCAGTATTTTTGCAAGTAATGTAACAGCTCCTCACCAATGGCAAAAATATTATGATGGAAAAAAGTGGTTTCTCAGTCCTCTTGATCCAAAAACTCTTCCCTTTGGCTCTTTTTCATGCCAAAATAATCCAGTAACACCAAGGATCCACTGGGAGCAAGCCCTTGCAGCTATATTCCCTCTCTGCCTATGATTATTCACACAAAGGCAACACAACACAACCACCAGTTTTTTTTTCTAAGAGTTTGACAAGTTGAAAACCACAGAATTGTTCTTGCTCTGAAGCAACCATCAGTAGGAATGTGCTTTTCAAAATTTTTGGATTACAAATCTCATTTTCTCTTTTACAAAACTCTCATCTGCAGGATCCAGACCTTACAGAGACCTAAATTGGACTCACCTGGAGAGGCCCACCAGACAGATGCCATGCCTTGGATAAACCTAACTTCCTGTTTGAAAAAGGAGCTGCCTCAATTGTTGCTGAGAGGCTTCCTCTTCAAACAGGAAGTTAAGACTATCAAAGACATGAAAGATAGATTATACTCAACTAGAGAAAAGGTCTAAGTGTCTCCACGGTCTGGCACTTGCAAGTGGAACTCCCAGAAAGGGGAATTATGAAATTTGTACTCCAAGAAATCCAAAATAAACATCCTTACCTATCAGACACAATTCTCTTGCACTATGGAATGACTGACACACTTTAATCTTTTAAATGGCAATCGATGGAAGGACATAAAATTGTGCATCATGTGGAAGAAGTGGACGCATTCAATTCCCCCCCCCCAATCTCTTAAAGTCTGGAACAGCCTTCCCTATCTCTAAGACTCTGAGATATTCTGGATTGCAATGTGCATTATTCTTGCCCATTGATCATAATGACTATGAAGACACACTTGGAAAGGCTAATTGAGAACTTTGGGGACCACCCATTGAAGCTGAAAGGTGGAAAGATTCAGGACAGATAAATCAAAGTGGTTCTTCGCATTACTGTGGTGTCTTTAAAAAGGAATTAGACAAAACCAATGAATACAGCTATTGGTCATGTTGACTATATATTATTTGTAGTAGCAGAGGGAGTATGGATCTCAGGTGCTAAAAGTGGAAAAGCTGGATGGGAGAGTGATGTCCTATCTGAGTCCTTCTTTTGGGTTTCCAATAGGCATCATAGGTGGCTACTGTGGAAACAGAATTGTGAACCTATGTAAGATTTTAAGTGAGATGTAACACAAGTCATCTTATGCTCCTCTCGGTGAGCCAGGAAGTAATACCTGTAAGCTAAATGCACCACATAGGTATACTGGTACCCTCCCATATAGGTTTAACCCTTCACTGCTAAGAATATTCCCTTGCTGCATAAAAGGACCAGAAATTCACAACTCTCAACAAAGACAAAGTTCAGGGATTTCTAACACTGGAAAGATCTTCCATTATCCTTCTGTACTCACCACTATTTAAGCCCCAGGCTATTGTGCAAAAATATCCCACACTGTAAACAAATAGACCTAGTGGAAGCTACAAAAGAGAACACAAAGGTCTTTGAAAGGTATTTGTATATTCTTCTGAATTGTTTTCTCTAGTCAAGGAACAAAGCTTACATTTCTTTTGTTTTTTTTTTCTTCCCACAGTTTCATCACTGACAGATGTACCTATTCAGCACAGCTTTTTTGCTTCTCTGGGGAAAATACTTTCCTTTAAAAAACAAACTATCCATTTCTCACCCACCTCAAAGTCTTGTTTTTTTATGTTGCCTTGTCACAGTTCTAGAAGCTAAGGCTGAATGGACAATGCCAGGTGTTATTAGACTGCAGCTTCCATGAACACTCACTATGTTGGCTGGTGCTGAAAAAAGCTGCAGTTCACCCACACCTAGAGAGCCATATATTGCCAACCCAGTGCTATAAGAAGCTCAAGTTGCATGAAAGTGAACTGTAGCACCCACTTGACAGTGTGAGATAATGTCAGTCATGTAATGATTTTTTAAATTTTTGATTCATAGAATTAAAATTTATTTCAAATCTTAAGTTAAAATAGTACCTGTTCCAGAAAAAAATACAGAACTAATAAAATGAACAAGTTCTGACAATCTTTCAGACTATTTCAAATTCCATTTATTTTGAGCAACTACAATTATGAGCTGTCTAAAACACAGCCACACTACATCCATTCCTCGCATATATTCATTTTTTTTAATTCACAAGATGACACTAGCATTCTTATGATACTTAAACAGTTTATTAGAGTAGCCCTTTTAATCCTAAAATATCTATATGCAGGCTCCTTTCACTCCCTCCTCCCATATACACACACATATATACATACTTTATTTTTCATTTTTATACACTGTATTGTTTAAATGCACTTAAGGAGCCAAAACTATATTTGAAAAGAAATCTGAATTTTTACGAATAAATAGATGCCAAAAAAAAAAAAATGCAAAAAGGAGATCTTTTAAAACTATGACAAATCTGTCACATTTCTCCTAAGATATACTACTTACATGAAACACAAATTCTGTTATCTAAGAATTACTTTGAAAAACTAATTTAGTTTCATGCTAAATGGCACTGCATTTAGCCTCCATTTCAGTATTTTCTTAGTACCTCTACAGAGGTAAAAACAAACCCAATACATGCCTATCTCTACATTGGGCATTCTGGGGCCAGGCTGGATATCCTCGACCCCAGCCCTTTCTCACTTATAACGAGCAATGCTAGGAGTACTAGTTGGACTTCCACATCTTTTCATTGCTCTACCAGATGAAGGAGATAACACCCAAATTAAAGGACCCTTAATTGCCTGAAGTGTGAGGTGTCCCTTACCTTTAAAACCTGGTGGGCTACAATCCTATAAGCGACCGTTGGCTATGCTAGCAAGGAACTGATAGGCCCAAGGTTGGGGACCATTGCAGTATAAGCGACCGCTGGCTATGCTGGCAAGGAAGTGATGACCTGTAGGTCAAAAACATCTGGAGAACAACAGTTTCCATACCTGTTTATTTCTAGTGGACTAAATATCTTGACAGGAGAAACCCAATATGGAACTACCGGAAGGCTTGGTCTAGCCAGATACTACTTTCAACACAATGGCCAAAAACTGCAGCAAGTCTTACCAGAGGTTCGGAATGGTACTAAAAGAGCAATGTCTGTGCATCTAGGGATGGTGGGGGTGGGGGACACTTTGTAACTTCAGGTCAACTTTTCTGCTGGTGACAATCAAAGCTCATGAAAATGAATTCATATCAAGTCTGTTTAAGAGATACCTCCATTCATTTTCTCTACCTCAGAAGCCGACTGGTGGTAGGAACATTGGGAACTGTTCATAGCAGTGTCTAAATGCGGGCAGCAGAAGAGACAACAATCATAGAATAAAAGCAGAAGTGAGAAAAGTTACTGTATTAAAGGAAAGATTACAGAAGGCAGAAAAGACAGGAAATAAAAACATATAGGTTCCATATCATAATAAAATGTTCTCTACAGCCTTAAGACAACCTTTTTGTAAAATCTACAGTATAATCACTGGTAGATGTACATCTTCAAAAAGCTCTTCTGTGTACTCAATGAGCAGCACACCGGCGGTTAAGAGCCATAACGGTCCTGGAAAGAAAATAAAAAGAAAGCTATATCACAGATAAGCAAGCAAAACCTCCATTACCACACTCTGAAATCTATACCTATTTGTTTTGTACAAATGAATAGAATGCTGTAGCCCTGAGCATATCACTTTAAGCAGCAGAGTACCCAACACCTCAGAACGAGGCATGTGTCAGGCTCCCTGGTGCGGTCAACCATCAGTACGACGGGTTGAAAAATGGCGGGGAGGGCCTTCCCTAGCATTCTTTTTAGGTTTGCAGCAGGGGCAGATTAATGGAATGATTAATTTTATATATTTTTAAAATTTGATTTTTATACCGTATATCTAGCTATAAAGGCCACTCTGGGCGGTTCACAGTTAAACCACATATCATTAAACAACAATTAAAACAAAAACACAATAATATAAATCAAAATTAAGCATAAACATACCAACAGAACTTCTAATAATGCCTAAAATGATAAAAAAAAGCAAGGCGGCAGGATGGATAATATACGTTTTAAATGATTCACTATATTAAGGTGCTAAAGGACTAGAAAGACCTGTCTAAAAAAACATGTTTTTAACAACTGCATAAAAGTTCCCAATGAAGGGGCCAGGCGGATATCAGGTGGGAGGTTGTTCCAAAGTTGTGGAGCTACTGCTGAGAAGACCTGGTTTCTAGTCCTCACACAATGTGAACAGAAAAAAAAAACACTGAAAAGGGTGGGCTAGAAGGAAAAATAAAATGGAGTGGTATAAGCCCATTACCATCAAGAACCCTTGAGGCAACAGGATCCTCATGGTACTGAATTTCTCTTTATTTGTGCAAATGAATAAAAACTTTGCTCCGTTTACTTCCAGAGGCGGAAAGAGGAGGAAAAGCACACACCTAAAGGTGTCCTCCTCCTGTCTGTATATACACACAGTCATTTTCATTATTTTTGTGACTGCCATCCAGCTATTTGTTATTATACCAAGTGACTTTTTCAAAATTTCCAACATTCCTGCAGGCCCACAAGATTGGGGATCCATAGCTTAATACTACCTTATGTATAAGGAACCTATTTTCAAAACAAAAAAGAACAAGATTGAAAAGATCCCACTATCCTCTCAAGATTGTAACTAAGCATGAGAAAGTTCAAGGTTCAGCTTTTGTACTGGAGAACCCAAGGCCCTCAACTCAAATGCAGTTTCATCAGCTTCCTAAATTTGTGACAACCTAAGGGAAGCTGCCTGGGAGGAATGTGACTTTGCGTCACTGCAAGTCGTAAAAAGATTCCTCTGCACATACAGGAGGGCTCATCCCTTACTGGAAAAAATCTCACAGGCCTCAGTGGAAAGCTGGTGTTCAGCTGAGCATGTATGTGACCATAACTAGATTAAAAAAAACTGCTTCCCTTTCCCTCAAAAATGCAGCACTTTTAATGGATGCTACAGTAAAATATACTGTCAATCTGCTTAACATAATATACAACTGTTATGGAAGAGCATGGCGTGAAATCTGCCCCCAGGGTAAAAATCTGTCCTTTACAATTATGAAAGCAAAGAAAGGTCAATGCAATTTCCAGTGATTTATAAACTCAAACCCTTTCATCCAAAGGTATCCATCATAGTTATGGATGGCTGGGTGAACTGCTGTAGTACAAAAATTACAGGGTGGAAATTTCAAAGTCTGCATATGGCGCATGCGTCAGTCTCTCATTAATCATGTGGAGGTAATTCAAGCCTGGGGCTGTTCTCCAATACTCAAGCTTTTCTAGCTTAAGAAGTAGTTTTAAAGGGTGCTCTAGCTACACTGTGTAGCTTTACTAGAGTGGTCAAAATGACTAGATAGGCGGGGTACAAACAAACAAACAAACAAACAAACAAACAAATAAATACTAACCTGAATAGATGTCATGACCCCATTTGCCAGGACAGAAAGCCTTCCAGCAACCGATTTCACTCCCTGTTTAAACTGAGCCATATCAGGAGCATTGGGCAACACATTTGAAATATTGTAAGTGCCTAAATGGAGAGGGAGAAATATATTTTGGTATGACAGATTTTTTAAAAAAATACTGCTTTCTCACCTTGATTTAAAATATGACAGAGAGAGAGAAAGAGAGAGAGAGAGAGAGAGGTCCTGGATGAGTGATCAATTTATTAAAATTTACAATATTTTAAAAAAGAGTTTTGCTGGGTTCCTCCCCACCCTGACATATGTTTTTGTTCTATTTTATAGTTCTTTTGATGTGAGTATAAGAACAGATGAATTAAAAACTTACTAGATTTTGACATTGAGCAAGGATAAGAAACGGAACTGAAAGGCAACATGATGGAAAACTACAATATGAGAAAAACCACCAAACACTCTGAGATTAATGCAAGTAATTCCTAGAGAGCAAGTAGTGTATTACTATAATGAAGTCCTTACACACAAGAACACATACCATATTTCTAGGACCAGGAATAAATTTGAAAATTGAAGATGTCATTCCATAAGTCAGCATGAGAATAAGAAAGAGAATATATGGATCTGGTTGTTGTTAATATAAAGGGGAAAGTAAATTAAGTTTGTTTTGAGTATGTATGGGCATTTATTGGAACTCCGAAGCTGATGAGTCATTTCTCTCCACAAGCACTAAAGTCGAAAGTCTCAATTTCCATTTTTGAATTGTAAGACTGGTTATAACAGACAAGTAAAAGTTCCATCTTGGAATTATCTACAGTGGTCCCCAGCCTTTTCCCAACCACGGACCAGTTGGGGGAGATAGGATCCGTGCATGCAGGGGCGTGGCACACTCAGGGGGGGCACGAGATCTGTGTCCGCAGCCCGGTCTTGCCTAGGTGCTGGGTCATGTACTGGGGGTTGGGGACCCCTGGACAGCATGGTTCTAATATTTTAAAGTCTGAAATAGAACACACACACACACTTCCTTCTTCTTTTGCTCTTTCTTGATAGCCAAACTGCTTTTTTCTTTTGGTTTAAATTCAAATTCATATAGTTCCCTCAGCAAGTTAAAAGCAATGGGGGAAGCTTACTGATACACTGATGTTTCCAAAAAGGAACCGAAATCCATACCATCTCTATGTATAGTAAATACATTCAAATACAGTGGTGCCCCGCATAACGAGCGATTCATTTAATGACGAATCCGCATAGCGACGCGTTTTTTGCGATCGCAAAAGTGATCGCATAATGATGTTTTAGATGGCCAAAAATCACTTTGCAATGATCGGTAAGCGTTTAGCTTACCGATTTTCGCATAGCGATGTTTTTTCTAACAGCTGATCGGCGGTTCCAAAATGGCCGCCGGGTAAAGAAAATGGCCGCCTGCAGTGGTTTCGCGCCCTTTCCTTGCTTACCGGGCAGCGAAAATGGCGGCCGCATGGAGGATTTCCGGATAACGGTGAGTTTTTTGCCCATAGGAAAGCATTAAACGTGTTTTAATGTGTTCCTATGGGCTTTTTTGCCCCGCATAGCGACGAATCCGGATAGCGACAATTTTTTCAGAACGGATTATCGTCACTATGTGGGGCACCACTGTAATAATATGCAGAGATCTAAAACAGAATTTAATCCTCTATGCCCTGAAATGGTTTATATCTAGATTCCTCCCCGGTTATCACTATTGGTTTTAGGAAGCTTTCCCAACAGCTTTTACCTTGTTAGGAGAACTGCATGGTTTGAATTTCTCTTCAAAAATATCAAAGTTAAACCCCCACCCCCAGTTGAGCACAATTCAGAATATCCAAACCTTTGGCTTCTTTGTTTTCCTTCCATACCTGATGGCTGCTTCTTTTGCTCTTCAAAAAGGTCTGCTGAACTTATGGCACTGTTTCCAGAAAGCCTCTCTAACCGGACTCTCGTCTCATACTATGGAAGAATTAAGAGCATTTCAATTACTGTATTTTTCAATTTATAACATGCCCCCTTTCTAACCCCCAAATTAAGAAAACAGCTTTGAAGATTCAGCCTCTGGGCTCAGAACATCGGACATTAGGAGTCCCTGTTGCATCTGAGCCCACAGGCTCCACCTCCAACGAGGTGTGTTCCAATTGGTTTCTACAGCATCCGCTGACATCAGTTCCATAAGGCTCGTGATTGGAGGAAGCTAAGCCTCCTGACTGAAAGAAGCCTGTTTACAGAGACAAGGTATGTGCCGTTTTGTTCTCTCCTCATCTATCTCAGCTTACTTCTGTGTAAAAGATGCCCTTCAATTTTTAGTGTAATGATATTAAGAAAAAGCAGCATCTTATAAATGGAAAAATATGGTATGTTGTATTTTATTTGCCAGTCTTGCCTGGGTGAGGTGATTTCAACTGTGTGAACCAGTTCTCTCCCCTCAAAGCCATTATTTCCCACTGCCACTTAAGTGCCCCACCTGAAAATGCTTATTAATTCCAGTTGTACTGAACTTTCTAGCTGCAAACTCACAACATCCCAAAACATGTATTTCATGATAGCCTATTATTCCAGGTACAGAATTAAATTACATAGACTGCTGAAAGGAATGACATCACCAGCCTTCTCTTCAATACAAGTATCCTTCAAGTAGAACTTATGAGTAGAGAAGAGGGAATATTCCACACAAGATCAAACTGGTATTCAAACAAATGTACAGTGGTGCCTCACTTGACAAGGATAATTTGTTCCGTTGAAATCGCTGTTAAGCGAAATCCTCGTCAAGCGAAACAAAAAAGCCCACTGAAAACTAGTTCAATGTGTTCCAATGGGCTAAATACCTCATCGTCCAGTGAAGATCCTCCATGGGGCGGCCATTTTCTGTGCCTGTAAAGCGAGGAATCCATCCTAAAGCACAGTGGGCGGCCATTTTAGAGCCGCCGAGCAGCTGTTTTAGAATCACTGTCTAGCGAAAAATCAGTTCCCAAAGCAGGGAACCGATCACAGTCAATCGAAATTTCTTTATCTAATCGTTTTGCGATCGTCGTTTAACAAGGTAATCGTTAAGCAAGGCACCACTGTATTTTCTTTCTAATTTGGGTCCAAGCTTTTAAAAACATGGGCAGGAGAGACCAACACAAATTGTTTTCTCCTAATCTAGCAAACGCCACAACCGTAGCCAAAAGAAAAGCTTCCTCCATTCTGCCTACAGCAGTGTTCCATGATGAAACTTTGGAATTAACAAAGAAAAGGAAAAACAGCCCCTAAATCAAATTCTAACTGCAAAATGTTCTGGATCCCTTTTTTGTTTTTAGACTTACTTCAGCATGGTCTTGCTTTCCAAAGTACATATCTGATGAAATTGCTTTAACATTGCCAAATTTCTTCTGAGCCTCATCTGTGCTTGGAGAAGGTTCATATTCAGGTTTACGACGAGAAGATGGTCTAAGAATAAGATTTTACATAGTTACATATGAGAGCAGCCAGTCTGATACAAGTATAATCAAGTTTATAATTTGAACAAGATTCAGAAGAGTTTTTAACAACCTTATTTGACTGGACATAGTTGCACTACCATTTCTCTCCTAGTGTAATTAAATTATAAATTAACTTCACTTGATATGAGAGTATTTCACATGGAAGCATGCAAGGTTTAGTACATTATTTTTCAGAGGGGATTTAATATAGTGTTAGCTTAATGTGTAAAGCAATACTTATTTTATGCTGGTCAAATTGTCTGAATGAATGAGGTTTAGCATCCTGCAGATATGATTTTTTAAGGTACCTATCAGAATAGTTTGCAGGTTTCGAAGACAACATTGTTTCTACATCTCTGTTGATGATTTCTTTCTTCCAAAAGGAATCAGAATTGTCGTCCCATTTAGAAAAAGTGCTGTTTCTCAACTCTGGAGAATCAAAGTACCTAGATGACAAAGCAAACATTAAAGGACTGATGCTCTTGGGGGTCCCCTGACATTTTGGGGCAACAGCTTTAAATACCACAAAGACCTTGTGACTCTTGAATCTAGTTCTACAGAACGGCATGGCATTCCATTACCACAGAGGGCTGCATGTTTTCCCATTTGATGAGAGTGACTTTAAAACCACTGTTTTATTCATATTTTCCATTCTAATTTTAATCTTTCCATTCTAAATTGAGCATATGCCACTTTCCATTTCATGGGATGACTTGGTTGCACATTAGCTTAAGAAAGAAAATAATGGAAGTGGGAAGCAAAAAGCCCATAATTAAAGAATGCTTCATTATTAAAATCAATTTCACTTTGAAAATAGCTATAATAAAGTAAAGGATAATATGGGTCCAAATTAACAAACAAAGGAGACTTGGAGTTTAATACAGATAATTCCCTATATATATTCTCAGACTGCAAGAGGATGCAGTATTTCTAAAACCAGATACAGTTCTGTGAATGAAAGGCCACTGGAAACCCCATGTAAGACTCCAATAAATAATTGCTTCTAAAAAGAATTTCTAATTTTCATTGAATACTGTGCTTTCTTCATTGAAATCTGGAACCATTTCCAGTAAATAGAAGGGACTGATGTTCAAGGAATGCTCCTTGCATAAGTTATATACTTATTTAGTCCATTGGCCATGTGACATTTATAGAAAAGTCTATGCAAAAAAGCAAAGAACTATATTTCAGAATTTGATTGTAATACAGTAATACTACTTGTAGCAACAATAAGTATCTTATTCACATATGTCGCAGTTCACTAAACATCTTTGGTCTGGATTCTAGCCACAACCTCCAGAATTTTTTTAATGACTAGAGAGAGGTTTTTATGGACAGTGATATAGCTAGGCTAGGCATTAAATGCTTTTGGAATATTTGCAAGACACTATGAAAAAGGGGATATTGTCCCTCCCCCATACGCTTATTTTTCAGTACATATTTTCAATTTGCATCATAAACTCCAGTCTCCTAACTTCTTAAGTTATCAACATGTTGCATTTATTAAAACTATTTTCTAGACTTTTAGCTGGAGATACTGAAAGGTATCACTCTGTAAAATCATTAACTCTGAGAAACAAGAACAACATTTTGTTACCATGCCAAGTCCAAATTAAAAAACAACAACAACTCATTACCTTGAGCTGGAGGAAGAAAAATATGACTCATCATCATCACTGTACTTTTTCCTCGGCTTTGTAATAGTAGGAGTTTCTTGTTCTATGATTTGCATATCTGATACTACAGAATGGGAAATGCCACTGGGAAGAAAACATAAACAACATTTGCTCATAAAAAACAACAAAGATCCAAGGTCAAGAACAAAGCTGACTGATGTAGCATATTTTCAGAAAATTTCTGTCAGTTAAGATACAGTATATCAGACATCCCCAACCCCTGGCCCATGGCCCAGTGCCCGTCCGTGGTGTGAACCAGACTGGGCCGCCGAGACAGACCTCCCACCCCACCCCCACACGCACTCACCCACACACAGCTCATTTGCACCTGCATTCCTGCACGGCAGTGTGAGCGCTGTGCCGCTGTTTGTGCATGTGCATGAGCACCTATGCAACCAGTGTGCTGCCATTTTCGCATGCGCACGAATGTGTGAGAGCACATGCGCAAACGGTCACACGTGCGCTCGTGTGAGAGAGAGCACTTGTTCGCGCATGTGCATGAGCACAGGGGGTGCCCCGCCCTCCCCAGCCAGTCTGCGGACCGAAAAAGGTTGGGGACCGCTGCTGAGTATATGACGAAACAGACATTCAATGATACAATACATTTTAGATTTGCTGGGCTACGACCTAAAAAGAACACACAATACAATCCAGAGATACAAGTGTAGTATCTCTCTATCAAAACAGAAAACAATACTCACGGCTTCCTCACTGCACCACCCTAAATTCTCCATCAGTGATTACTCCCTAGAGCCTTTATAAAAATCCCAGGCCCAATCTGACAGGCAAAAATTGCATGCACAGACCAAAAGCAAAAACTATTTTAGGTGCATCCAAAAATTCAGCCATGCTTAAGGGACAGCTGGCCCAGCTGCAGCATTAATCCATCTGTCAGATGAAACATGCACTGTTATACAGTGCACGAGAACACACAGAAGAAGTTGTGCATATTCTGGTCAAACTGGATGTCAACTGCAGAGGCGGAATGAAAATAGTTTCTGATGTTCATGCTCATTCAGAGGCTTTTGCACCAATACACTTTAAGAAGATTCCTTACACAGAGAAAGAACAATACTTCTCAGTACTAAGCAAATAACATGGAGCAGACTTTGAGATCTGCCTCTGCTGACACAAGATTAGCCATTGGTAGTCTTAACAACAACAACAACAACAACAACAACAACAACAACAACAACAACAACAACAACAACAACAACAATAATAATGTAAGATCAAGTCAATTCTGGCTTTAAAAATAATGGGCCAAAAATTAGTTGTGCAGATGTAGCATAGTTATATCCACATAAATGTGCCAGGCATTAAAGAAAGAAGAAATTGTGCAATTTGATTGTGCAATCAGTTACATGATTCCCATTGGGACTGTTACCAGCAGTATGGGAGGAGAAGTGCTTCATAGATAGCACTTTCGCCTTGGCACTATTGCAGCTACTTCGGCATTATGTCAGATTACACCCACTTAGCTACACAATAGGATTTTGCTCACCAATAAATCACCAATATTGGGATTCAAAAGCCAAAAGACCTCTCTCTATCTTAGAGTGCTAAATGAAATTATCTATCATGTTTCAGTTTGTAACACAAAGCTAAGGAATTCTACATACCTTCTATTGCTGCTAAATCCCATGCCAAGTCTGTCTACTTCTGTTTTCTTTTTACCAGCCACGTTAAATTTTTCATCTTTCATCTGAATTTCAAGATCTTTATAAGCTAGTCGTAAAGATGATACCCTGAAAACAAACAGACATTTAATACTTCTGGAATAAAACCCAGAAATGTTTCCTCTCATGTTTAGGGGTGGAGTGGGGATTTACAGAACACATTGCGCTGCATATGATACAACTCAGACAAAATCTTATTCAGGCATTCATTAAAAAGATTAATCTTAACCCATAATAAAGCTAGCCCTGTCCCTCACCCCTGTAAAAGCTCCTGCATGTGAAGAGCTAAATAGGAAGAGGGGAGCAGTCTCTATCCTGAAGGCTCTACGCATAATCAGAAACTGGAAAACCCAGGGTCCTAGACTAACAATTCCTTTCAGTGTGAGTTTTTGTGGATTACAATCAAGTTTCTCAACCACATGAAGTACAACTGTCTAACTCATATTCCCACTTCAGCAGTCCCCGCAACCAGGCACACTATGTATATAAACCTCTATCCTATGTGTTGAACAATATGTGTCTGAAGTGGCCTGAAATCAATGGAAGTTCAAACAGAAGATGATTTGTTAGTCTTTAAACTGCCACTATCGCTTTTGCTTCTGTAAAATATATGCTTAAAATGTGTGTGTGTGAGAGAGAGAGGGGGGGAGGGAGGGAGGGAGGGAGGGGAAACTGTAGCCTGCTCCCTCCACTAACAGGCTAGGATTAACTTTTTCATTGAACATCTGAATAGATCTAGAGTACTTTTTGCTGGCTCACTTTTTGCAAGTTCACAGATGCAAGTAGACAAGACAACTCATATTTTAGTTAAGTGTGGCAACGTAACAGGCTACTTCAAAACGCTAGTAAGAGGCCTCATCAATGTGGAGTTATAGTATCAGCAAAAGGATTCCGCTATAAGAACAATGCCACAGACAATGGAGTCTGAATGTGTTGACACTAAATGTATGATGAGCAAAAAGGAAAGAAGGAATATGGAGGTCACTGGCAGAGGAATACAGTCTTTGAATGCTAGACTATTCAGCAAGCAGGCATAGCCTGCATGCATAGGTCAGCTGAAGAATGCAATTTGCTGACATTTTTCATGACATTTGAGGACATAGGAAAACTACAGGCCTTCCAACCTTGAGTCTCCAGCCAATGTTGGAATACAATTCTCCTCAGCTATGACCACTGGCCAAGCTGGATTGAAATGACAGTAAGTGTAGGTTGGGAAACAGAATATTCTAGACAGCATTAAATAGACTGGCAACACCTAATCTAACAATATAACTGTGTGAGTGGATGGTAGTCCATCTCATCCATTCACACGACGTTGGTCACAGTTTATAATATTTTATTCTTATATCTGGCCCTCTTTCAGTAGAATCACAAGAAATCAAAAACTTTCACTTCAGACTTCAATGAATCATGGTTTAGTGCTACATCCAATCTTCAAATTGTAGTTAGTGTTAACACTGATTGGTTAAAACTAGCAGATTTACTGGCTATGGTCTAAAATTCTATTCTATTAACTGAATTTAGGATTAACCTTAGTCTGCCCAAGTTTGGACATAATGCTTAACTGTTTTCTGATAAAAATGAAAGCAAATGCTTCTGAATTCCTCTTCTCAATTACATGGAAATGGAGTGTGCAAGCTTTGTTAGACTCATTCTTGTAACAGTACATCATAGTTTAGCACTTTATCCTCCACAAAATCTGAGAGTTCTTTATCTTCACAGTTTGGGCATTACTTTTGACAAGATGCCCTTAGAGAAATCTTTTCACATACAGTAAAAAAAAAACAGCAATGTCCTGTCACTCCTATAAATAGATACATGACCAGAAGTACGTTGAGAATCCATGCATCTCTCCATATGAGAGGTAAGGGTCAGTCCTTTACATATTACAATGAAAGATGACAAAGAGGATACATAAATTCTTTGAGCACTTCTTACTCATCCAAACCATCATCTGTTTGGACTTGCACAATTTACTATCACAAGAAAATTACAACTAAATAGATATGTGTTACTATGAATATGGTGAAATAAATCACAGTATTTTTTTAAGAATACACACAACACAGTTGGCAGTGACTGTGTGTATTTTTTGAAAGACAAAGTTGTGCACAGATCAAGCCAACGTTGTTTTGGTTTATTTCCATAATTGACAGGAGGCTTTGCATTCATATTCAATTAGATTTGTATATTTAATGGACCCTCACAATGTCACAAATGTATGCTAGTTTTACAGAACATGAAACAACTCACTAGAGAAGTATCACAAATTGCCAGATACTTCATTAAGCATATAATTTGCCAAATAATATAGTTTAGAAGCTAATGGCAATTGAAGTGATCACAGTATGACAGATGAACACATATCAATAGGAACAAAGTCATGAAGATATTTTACAATGCAAACTCCTATCTTTAAGCCGTGCAAATACGTTGCAAAAACTTTCAGTCAACGTGCTTTTTAATTTTTCAGCTACAGAAACAAAAGCCACACTTACTTTCATCTCTCTCTGACAGCGTTAACAAAATCAAAGATGTCAGAACTACATGTTTGCTCAAATTTTGCGACCTACCTTGAGAAGCAGTTTGGTCAAAATGCAACAGAGATATTTAATAAATCTAATTCACAACAATCTAAAATGAAATAGCCTTAGAAATAATCTCCTAGCTTACCACATGGCAAAAGAGATTAATCATGAACGCTTTTAGTTAACAGTTGTGTCAAGAAATTAGATGCTTAAATCTTACTGCTTAGCATAGTAAATCGCACTACAGTAGGTACACTGAGTTAGTGAGGATCTGGTGAGTCAACTCCTCCATAGGTTCCACTGAATCAAGTGGGACTTCTCCAATGTGACTTTAGAGTAGTAAGTTACAACTAGAGTAGTCCCATTTGAACCAATGGAACTCTCCGAGGAGCTGACTAAGCAAATCCCCAGTGATTTAATGGGACTATTTTACTATGCTCAGCAACATGATTTCTGCCTGTGTTTTACCTGCAGGCAAAGTGGGGGGTACTGAATTTGTTCTCAGGCAGTACCACCCCAAGAAGGAAATATGTGGGGTGGGGGAAGAGGATTTACGTGGATTTAAGGTACTGTGTTCAAGATATACACAATACAAATCCTATTCAAATATTACTGAATCTACACTAGGCATGTGAGAAGAGGGTGCATTCTTGCCTAGTCTGCTTCTTATGTGTTTCAATCTTGTGCTACATATGGAAGGCAACAGTTCCATAAATCTTCTGTGGAGGTCCTCCACGTGGTAAAGGCCCGTCCACACTGTCAAACTTGGTGTGATCCAACTGGTGCTTAAAAGGTCCTTATCTTCAGTGCAATATATTTTGACTCTCCTTACCCATTCGTGAAGGCAGAACAAAGAGCTATTTTGCATCTCAATGAATTTGTCCCTAAAAGATTTGCATGCTCCAGCCCTATGCCAGATAGATACAGGCCAGCTCTTAAAGGGGAAGGATGGAGTGTTTTAAAGAGAAACAAAAGCGAACAGGGTATTTTTTTTCTGTGTCAAACAGTGCTATCAGGAAACCATATACAATAACTATATGGCATTGCAGAGAGGTTCTAAGACTACATAAGAGCCTCCACGCTCAGATGAGATTTTCCTCTTCAGGCTATCAGACCCCCAGTAGAGGGCAATGGAAATGTGTAAAGAATGGACAAGTTTAGTATGCTCCGTATCTTTACCGGTTCAGTAAACACAGATCCTAATACCCAAAAAACACTACAATCTTGGCCAGTTCCTGCCTTTCCCCCACTATGAGATTATCCATACCAAGCTGACAGTTCTCTAGAATATGACACAAATTGGGTTGTGATAGCATTTATTAGGGGAAACCATACACAACACTGAATGCTTGTCTGTAAATGTGCTTATGCTGCCACCTACCAGTAGTGAAAATAACCATAACTGGATCTTTAAGGAAGATGAGGAGTATTTCCCTTCCTGGAAGCTTTCCTTCTTGCCTTTGTAGTTTTGTGTATATATAAATATATATATTTAAAGATTCCCAGTGTTAAAGGCTGCAAGTTCTAGCTGCCTGCAAGATCTTTCCATGCACTGTGTAAATAACTGAAGGAACATGTTTGGGCTCTGTTTAAGAAACGGAGCACATTCCTAAACTGTGAGAATGAGAATGAAGAGAACAGAAAGGCCAATCAGTTAACCATGAATTAAGAGTGATGTTGCACTTCACAATTTACTTTTCCTTATTAGTTAGGGATGCTTGCAATGTTCTAAGAAATGTTTTCGATATGAAGCAGGGCTCAGGCACATTACAAATATTGCAGGCCAACCTATGCACCTCCACTATATGCCACATAAGAGAGAGCATTAGACCAAACTAAGCATCCTGGTTTTGAGAAATGGCCATCCTGATGTTTCTGAGAAGCCCAAAGAAGGGCATAAAGGATATAGTCTTCCTTGCTACCTTTATAATAGCTGTTACTCAAAAGAAATGTTGCTGCTCTCCAGAAGTATTTTGACTAGCATCCCCACTACTCTCAGTCAGAATGAACAAACACACTGATGATGCCAGTTGTAGCCTACTGTTTCCGGGGGACAACAGGTTTGTAGAAGCCAAAATACTCCCTCTGAAAATGAAAGGTTTCATTTAGAATCACAGTCAACTACTATCAATTGAAACATCTTTCATATATTTGCCTAGCCTAATATGAAAGCCATCTAATACCATAACCATTTCCATCTTGTGACAAGTTCCATAAATTTCCTCATTATGCAACCCAGTAAATTTCGTATTTGCCAGAGGCTTATTGCTAACAGAATTTAATATTATGGGTTATGTACAACCTTGAGCAAATGGACAACATTCATACAATTGGACTTTCAATTCCCTTTATCCCTCTCCTAAGCCATACAGAATCTACCCCAGGCCCAATCCCCCTGGGGTAGATTCTGGGGAGCCCAAGGGCATTCAAGAAGGAAGGTGAAATTTTTCCCTTCCTGTCCTGCTGATAGAAGTCCATCTACAGACAGAAAACACTAGCTGGAACTCACCCTATGAGAGGCTGAATAAAAACCCATATGCACTCTGTTCCACATAATGTATAGTTTTCTAAGTACTTTTAATATCCTCTGAGCTGCCTTTTTTCCTAAGCCATACAGCCCTGAATATGCTGGCATCATCAGAAATGTAAGTGCTTTGATGTCTTCATTTTGTAAAAGCTCTGGTTGCCCTTTCCAGACTCTAGGATGTCCTTTTTCAGATACAAAAACCAAAACTTGTATCAGGTTATATGTTGTTGAGCAATTGAGTATAACAATTCAATTTCATGGTTTACACAGTGCATTAGAATAAAACAGGTATTATTGAAAATTTTCTTTTGCATTCAGTGCAACATCAGACTGCATATAATCTGATAAGAGTGTCATAAACAGCTTTATACACTTACAGTGGTTCTTCTTTCTCAATGTTTTTCCCAACATGCATCTCTTCCTTCATTTTATCTACTGCTTGTGCTTGTTTTTCAATCTCATTAAAACTCTTGCTGCTCATTTTCTGGGCTCCCAAACCACCTTTCTTTGTTCCAAGCTTCAACAAGAAAAACAAAACAGGGTAATATTGGTTAGCAATGCAAGGAAAAAATTAAGCAAAATACAGGCATTTGCTGGCAAAATGACTCTGTGTATATTATGTTCCTCACCTTCTACAAAACATGAGAAGAGAAAAGCTCAAATAATGACAAGAGGAGGCAACAGAATATACAGTAAGCTGAGTCACAGTATGGGCTTGCAAATCCAATTTCTTGGCACACCACTGATCCTCTTGCACTTCATGGATTGTGGTAACCATTTTGCCTTGATAACATAATCAGGCCAACTTATGGTCACTGATAGGAATCAATGTTCTGTTTTGGAATTATTACAGGAGATAATCAGCATACTAACTCATGGCAGTCTCCTGACAGCCAAAACCATAGTCCAGCTGTGATACTTAAATTGTACCAATGGAAATGTTTACATGGCAGAGTATACCAGAATTCTGCCTTATGAATGATCAAATGGAGTGGTACATGTTGCTTGGGCCAGCTGAACAAACTGCACATTTCCTATTTACTGTTCATTTCTGTCATTTACAAATCATGGTTTGTCTTTCCCCAAACAATAAGGAGTCATAACAAAAGAAGAATCCATAGCATATGCATTTGTTCATTTGAGGAGAGACAATCAACCACACAGCATCTTTTCATTAGCATGATTCCCCAGTATACTCCAGCCAACTGGATATAACAAAAATAGTCTACAAAACCATGCCCAACCTTGCAATCCACAAGCCAACAATCTCAAAATGGAATGAGGGCAAAAAACAATTTCCCTTCCATATTAAACAGCTAATAAGCAGAATGTCACATTTTTAATGAAAGACTATGTGCATATAGCCACAGCTATGCGGGCCCTTTCCTTTCTGATTAGAGTCTAAGTATTATTATTTTTTACCTATTTTACATTCCTGAGAACTGGCAACACTGTGAAAAAAGGCACCAAACACTTAGCCAAGGAAACATGCACCTCATGAAAAAGCTAATTTTTATGCAGATTAAAACAGAGTGAAAAAGATCAGACAATTTAAGCACCTACCCCCTTTTTAACTTGGTTTGGCTTCTTTTTTATCATGGAGCTGGTCTCTGCAAATATCAATACATATTCTATTACAATGTATATTCAACTATTGCAAGAGTAGTATTAATTGTAGGCCATGCAAAAGCATAGAGTACAAGCAAGTTTCCTCCTTTATTTTGCTTATTAATACAGCAGTTTAATTAAGAAATTTAGCAGTAGGATGCAGCATGATTTGTCTCATGTTCACAATTAAGGAACAGCTCCACAAAACAGTGCAAATGCCATCTTCAAAAAATATTAAAACCACAAATGGAAGAAAGGGAGGCAATGACAACAATTCAGAGCTTACCAAATTATTAGACAAACACACCTTAATATATGGATATAAAACATAAACAAATTTTATATCTTGGTTAAAGATGCAATACTGAACAGAAGCTTTATTTAAGGTGTTTTAATAACATTTGAAAGATTGTAGATATAAAAACAGCATGAAGTTGGGACAGAGGTTTAAAGCACTTGAGACAATTGAAATACGACACATTTGATTAAATTGATGCTGCAAATTATGAAGACAGTGTAATAATGCACTATTCCACAGATGTAATATACGTGGAAAGTAAAGCAGCAAACAGGATATCTAAAATGTCAGTCACCTTTGCTAGGTGTGCTGCCTGAAGTATTTACATTCTCCGAGTTGGCTAAAATAAGAAATAAAAAACAGACAGACATCACTCACTAAAAAGATCAATGTTTTAAATAAAGAGCTATTTTGATTATAGCAACTGAACCCAACAGATTTGTGTCTGTCACCAAAATATTAATAATAACTGTGTGTAGTCAAGTCAATTCTTGCTGATTAATACCGAGGGAGAACTGTGAGATGACATGGTTTCATATGTGGGAGCACTGAAATTTGCAACCCCCAATTGCAATCTCTGTTGGCAGTGGCCCCACAGGATTGCAGAGAGAAATGAACAAAGGAACAAGGTTCTAGAGCTCTTGAGAGGACACTTGGCTACACTGCAAGAATACAATCTGAGATGTACCGAGATGATGGAGTGTCCAACCTACGGTGTCAGGCATGAGATGCTTAGACAGACACAATTTAGGGTAAAAGTTACTGGAAGAAATTACTTCTATAAACATCTCAATGATTATAAAGGCAGAAAAACCTAGGTGAAACATGTCTAGTAGTGTGCAGTTTCAACAATGACATACTGATCAATCCCACATGCATTTTCCAAGTTATGCCTCTGATAAAATTGGCTATAATGTGGGCTGTGATACTTTCAAAATTTCAGGTAGTTTCTCTTATTTACACTATTACATGAACCTCTCTTTAGACCTTTTTTTAAATGGGACTTCTATTTCAGCCTTGATTTACCTAAAGAAGCTTGTGGTGACACACTAAGACAATCAACACTTGGTCCATGTTCAGGTTCATCTAGAAATATAACAAAAACAGTAAGGACAAAGATGATTTTTAGAATTTATTTTTAAAAATCTCTCCCCTTCCCCCACCCTCTCTCATAAATATACAATGACTATGTGACTGTCTCAATTTCCATGTAGCTGGGAATGCCGAACTTCAACTGTAGTGACAAAACAATGGGGAGGATATTTTCATAATACAATATAATTAGTCCTTTTTCTGTAGGTCTCCTATATTGCAAATTGGAAATACAGCCTCCTAATATTTGGTGTCGGTTGCAATTATACATGCAACATAACAATGCCTAAGGAGATAAAATCAGTGGAACCTGAGGAATGCTTAAATTTAGTTGCACAGTGCCAGCAATGTAAAAATGTTCTTGAAGTGAGAAAGCTCACCTTCTTTGTTTTCTGAATTATCTTCAGAAGAATTCTGCTTCAGGTTGATTGTCTCCTCACGTGATGCTTCCCATTCTGCATTAATAACCTGGAAGGGGGGGAATGAAGCACAACTTACTATTATCCGTTCAGAATACGCCCAAAGCACTTAAATCTGAACTATCTAAGACCCTGGCTAATCTCAATATTCATACCACTGTTTGCTCTATACAATTGGTGATATTTTACGTAACTATGGTTTCACAATTAATGATTTTTCTCACTAAGAAAAAGTATGTATCAGACAAAATTAGTATGGCAGATTCCAGTTATAAGAGGACACAAATAGTTACACCATGACCTGTGGTATTAGAATACTATACTATTAACTTCTATAAAGTTAGCATGTGGCTGCCACTCCTCATGCATAATAAATCGCATTAGAAGGATTTAAAATCAGCCCAATTCACAATACACGTGACTACAGACAGTTACATTCTGAGAGTGTGTATATATAACAAAGACAAAAATAACTGTTATACAACTAATAAAAAGTGACATATCTGTAATGTATCATAGAATTTATTTATTACGCGATCAGGCCTGAACAGGAATATGTTTCCTGCAACCGCTGCCAAGGGAGAGGTTAGGGGATACAAACTTTGCAGTTACCATAATTCATAATTTGGGGTACTGCAGTGTTATATCTGAAAGACTGATTATATCATCTACCCTGTCAAAGGACAGAGAAGGTTCATGCCTACCTAGGCAACTGCACATTGCACAAACATAACAGTGTACTCTATACACTATGTGAGACGCTCCCTTCACCCTTATCTGTGGTGATCAACAAGAACATGGACCCTCAATTCTTCTATAACAGTGTACTCTATACACTATGTGAGAAGCTCCCTTCACTATCACCCTTGTCTGTGGTGGTCAACAAGAACATGGACCCTCAATTCTTCCATTGTACTGAGTAAGATTTCAATGCACACCAATGTATAGGCCACAAAAGATACTTGAAACTATGCTACTTGAGAAAAAACGGTTACTTACCTGTAACTTTGGTTCTTCGAGTGGTCATCTGTGAATTTACACTAATGGGTTAACTTGCGCCTGCGCAGAGTGATCTTGGAACCTTCTAGAGCTCAGGCATATTGTGCCGGGACCTCCCCCACATTGCCTATAACCCCTCTGGCACAGAGTGCCTCAATTCTGTAGAACTGTCCGCCACTGCGCAGCATGCCGTGAGGCACACGTGACGGCTAGCAGGGAGGAAGGGTGGGAAGTGTGAATTCACAGACGACCACTCGAAGAACCAAAATTACAGGTAAGTAACCATTTCTTCTTCTTCATGGTCTCTGTGAATGCACATTAATGGGTGTTTGGCAAACTTACCTGCGAGGTGGAGGGACATAACGAAAGAACAGGTGCTAATACAGCACGGCCGACAGGAACCTCGGCTTTAGCTCGGTTGTCCAAGCAATAGTGAGCCGCAAATGTGGGTGGCGTGGCCCACGTGGCTGCTTTACAGATATCAGCAAGTCCATGTCTTTGAGGAAGGCCGTAGAGGAAGCCACAGCCCTGGTGGAATGGGCTTGTACAATACCTGGTAGGGGAGTCTTGGCCAACTCATAAGCCACACAGACCGTGGAGACTATCCACTGAGAAATTATCTGTGGAGAGCCCCTTGATTGTCCATGGAAGGAGACAAACAAACACTGGGATGAGCGGAAGGTAGAAGAATGAGAGACATGGTACGCAAGGGCTCTCTTAACATCCAGGGAGTGGACAGCCCGCTCCAGACTAGAGATGGGGGACAAAAAGAATGTCGTCAGTACTATCGGCTGGTTTAGGTGAAAGCCTGAGGCCACCTTAGGAAGGAAAGAAAGGTCGCGGAACAGAGTCACCTTGTTTGGGTGAAATTGGAGGAAGGGCGCATTGACTTGCAGGGCAGCTAGTTCACTGGCCCGCCTTGCAGAGGTTATAGCCAGAAGGAATGCAGTCTTTAGCGAGAGCAATTTGTCTGAAGCAGAGGCCAGTGGTTCAAAAGGAGGTCCCATGAGTTTGTTAAGGACTAATTGGAGGGACCATTGAGACATGGCGCCTTATAAGGAGGGTGCATATTTTTCAATCCACACAGAAAACATTTGAGCATTGGATGACGGAACAAATTTGCTGCTGCTGAAGAAGGTGGCTGGTGAGCCACTATCATAGCTACATAAACCCTCAAGGTAGAGTGGGACAGGCCACGATGGAAAAGGAGGAGGAGGAGGAATTGCAGTACTGCATCCAGTGAGGTAGGTACAATTGGTAAGCCGTGTATAGTGGCAAATGCTTTCCATTTACAAGAGTATGTGAGGGTCATGGAATGGCGCCGTGCATGACCAAGGACATCTGTTACTGTGGGAGCAGCTTCCAGACAGTGAGGTGTAGGGATTGTAGGTCTGGGTGAAACGTCATGCCATTGTGGAGGGCAAGAAGGTGTGGGAGCAGGGGGAGATGTACATGGTTTACAGCATGTCCAAGTAGGGTTGAAAACCACGGCTGGTGTGGACACCAAGGGGTAATTAGAATGACATTTGATCCCTGTTGGGGTATCCTGAGCATAGTCCTCTGTACTAGTGGTATGGGTAGAAATATGTACAGAAGTTTGTGTGTCCACGAGATCATGAAAGCGTCTCCCAACGAACTGTGGCCGATTCCCACCCTGGAACAGTAGCGGACGCATCTTGCGTTGGTTGGAGAGGTGAAGATGTCTATCTGGGGCATGCCCCATCTGCGGCAGAGGGACAGGAATATGTCCTTGTTCAGAGTTCACAAGTGGGTGCATACTTGCAGTCTGCTCAGGTGGTCTGCAAGCACATTGTCCTCTGAGGCTACATGAATCGCGACAGGATAGATGTGGTGATCGTAACACCATTCCCACATCTGGACATTTAAGTACAGTAGGTGGAGGGAGTGTGTGCTGCCCTGTTTGTTCAGATAAAATGCCACTGTGGTGTTGTCTGACGCCACTTGAACTACCCTGCTGAGGAAGTGTGCTTCGAACGCACGGAAGGCCTCTTCTATAACTGGTTGATCTACTGCCAAGTCCATAGCTCTCGCTATCCTGCGTATCAGGTGCAAGTAAGCTGTGTAATCTTCTGAGGAAGAAGGTGGGTGGCTACCCGCTACCTCGGAGTCTGGTGTGGGAAGATTTGGAGGAGAATCTTTATCTAAGTCCTCAACTGAAGCTTCCGATTCAGAAGTAAAAGCCTCCTTTCGGCCCAGACACAGAGTAAACTCTTGGGGTTGAGGGTCTCAATGTGAAGCATTCAATCAAGCAGGCAAAATGGTGTCCTCAACCCCGGGCAAAGTGGCAGCCAGTATCGGGACCGCAGGAAGGTGCTGTATGATCACCAGTATCGAGCTGGTTGGTGCTCCTCACCCAAACAAAATAAAATTGAGACACTAGTGCCGGGGGTGGAGTTATATAGCTGGTGTAGGGGAGGTCCCAGCACTAAGTGCTTAAAGCTGTGAAAGTTTCTGAAACTGCTCTGCTTGAGCGCAGATTAACCCATTAGTGTGAATTCACAGACGACCACTCGAAGAACCAAAGTTACAGGTAAGTAACCATTTCTCCTTCTTCATGGTCTCTGTGAATGCACACTAATGGGTGTTTGGCAAACTTACCTGCGAGGTGGAGGGACATAACGAAAGAACAGATGCTAATACAGCACGGCCGACAGGAACCTCGGCTTTAGCTCGGTTGTCCAAGAAATAGTGAGCTGCAAATGTGGGTGGCATGGCTGCTTTACAGATATTAGCAAGTCCACTTCTTTGAGGAAGGCCACAGAGGAAGCCACAGCCCTGGTGGAATGGGCTTGTACAATACCTGGTAGGGGAGTCTTGGCCAACTCATAAGCCACACAGACCGTGGAGACTATCCACTGAGAAATTATCTGTGGAGAGCCCCTTGATTGTCCATGGAAGGAGACAAACAAACACTGGGATGAGCGGAAGGTAGAAGAATGAGAGACATGGTACGCAAGGGCTCTCTTAACATCCAGGGAGTGGACAGCCCGCTCCAGACTAGAGATGGGGGACAAAAAGAATGTCGTCAGTACTATCGGCTGGTTTAGGTGAAAGCTTGAGGCCACCTTAGGAAGGAAAGAAAGGTCGCGGAACAGAGTCACCTTGTTTGGGTGAAATTGGAGGAAGGGCGCATTGACTTGCAGGGCAGCTAGTTCACTGGCCCGCCTTGCAGAGGTTATAGCCAGAAGGAATGCAGTCTTTAGCGAGAGCAATTTGTCTGAAGCAGAGGCCAGTGGTTCAAAAGGAGGTCCCATGAGTTTGTTAAGGACTAATTGGAGGGACCATTGAGACATGGCGCCTTATAAGGAGGGTGCATATTTTTCAATCCACACAGAAAACATTTGAGCATTGGATGACGGAACAAATTTGCTGCTGCTGAAGAAGGTGGCTGGTGAGCCACTATCATAGCTACGTAAACTCTCAAGGTAGAGTAGGACAGGCCACGATGGAAAAGAAGGAGGAAGAATTGCAGTACTGCATCCAGTGAGGTAGGTACAATCGGTAAGCCATGTATAGTGGCAAATGCTTTCCATTTACAAGAGTACGTGAGGGTCATGGAACGGTGCCGTGCATGACCAAGGACATCTGTTACTGTGGGAGCAGCTTCCAGACAGTGAGGTGTAGGGATTGTAGGTCTGGGTGAAACGTCATGCCATTGTGGAGGGCAAGAAGGTGTGGGAGCAGGGGGAGATGTACATGGTTTACAGCATGTCCAAGTAGGGTTGAAAACCACGGCTGGTGTGGACACCAAGGGGTGATTAGAATGACATTTGCTCCCTGTTGGCGTATCCTGAGAATAGTCCTCTATATTAGCAGTATGGGTGGAAATATGTACAGAAGTTTGTGTGTCCACAAGATCATGAATGTGTCTCCCAAAGAATTGTGGCCGATTCCCACCCTGGAAAAGTAGCGGAAGCATCTTGCATTGGTTGGAGAGGTGAAGATGTCTATCTGGGGCATGCCCCATCTGCGGCAGAGGGACAGGAATATGTCCTTGTTCAGAGTTCACAAGTGGGTGCATACTTGCAGTATGCTCAGGTAGTCTGCAAGCACATTGTCCTCCGAGGCTACATGAATCACCACGGGATAGATGTGGCAATCGTAACACCATTCCCACATCTGTACATTTAAGTACAGTAGGTGGAGGGAGTGTGTGCTGCCCTGTTTGTTCAGATAAAATGCCACTGTGGTGTTGTCTGACGCCACTTGAGCTACCCTGCCAAGGAGGTGTGTTTTGAACACACGGAAGGCCTCTTCTATAACTGGTTGATCTACTGCCAAGTCCATAGCTTTCGCTATCCTGCGTATCAGGTGCAAGTAAGCTGTGTAATCTTCTGAGGAAGAAGGTGGGTGGCTACCCGCTACCTCGGAGTCTGGTGTGGGAAGATTTGGAGGAGAATCTTTATCTAAGTCCTCAACTGAAGCTTCCGATTCAGAAGTAAAAGTCTCCTTTTGGCCCAGACACAGAGTAAACTCTTGGGGTCGAGGGTCTCGATGTGAAGCATTCAATCAAGCAGACCATTCAGGCAAAATGGTGTCCTCAACTGGCAAAGTGGCAGCCAGTATCGGGACCACAGGAAGGTGCTGTATGATCACCAGTATCGAGCTGCCTGGTGCTCCTCACCCAAACAAAATAAACACTGGGAGTGTCTATCCGAAAGGGGGACTTTATTCGGGCAAGAGAAGCAACGTTTGAAGGGGCCTGAGGAGGCCATAAACAAGTTCACAAACACAACAGAAAGATAAATCAGTTATATGCTTTCAAGCCACCTCACAAAACCAAAAGAATCATCAATTAGTCCGAAGTCGTAAATAACCGGGAGGTTGAGTAGTAGTAGGTGGAATAGGGCGAAAAAACGCTATGCAAAAGACTTCAAGATGCTGCAACAGTGGCGGCAGAAACAGAACTGAGGCACTCGGTGCCAGGGCGGGGTTATAGGCAGCATGGAGGAGGTCCCAGCACCATGTGCCTGAGCTCTAGAAGGTTCCGAGATCACTCTTCACAGGCACAAATTAACCCATTAGTGTGCATTCACAGAGACCACGAAGAAGAAACAACACACACTTCAGAAGCAAAATTCAATTAATTCTATACCTGAGGAGAAACGTGTGTCGCAAAGAAATCTTCCTCTTTTTCTTGAGGTGACAGGGGTGGGGCTCCATAGCCATCTATCCACAACTAGAACAAAGACAGCATATCATCTCATGGTGCTCTCTCAGTATTTATCAGCAATACATGAGAAAATTTCCACAGGGAAAAAACACTGTATTTACACAGGTTTAGACAAATCTCAGATATGAAGGCAGCAATGCTCAGCAATGTAAAGCCATAGAATGAAATATAAAGAAAAAGCAGGGGAAAGGTCAGAACAATCATGATAAGAATCGACATTCTAAGGACATTTTAAAGTAACACTATCCTGCTGACAATCTGCATGGTAAACATATGCTTTAATGGATAATGGTAAGCATCAGTAGATGCTGAACATTTAGTACCTCAGTATCGTCTTGTCTAATAGCAAACTTGGACAACCAAGTCTATTAGCAACTAACATATGGCTACTCTTAAATAATGCAGTGGTTTCTACATACTTAGATATAT